CTGCCCACTGAAGTATTGATTGAAAAGCATTGTTATCGTTCGGCTGACCTGCCTGATTATAATTTAACGTGTCCGTACGATGGCTACATGTGTGAACACATTGCTTTAAGCACTTTGTAAAACGCCAACTGAGAGTAAGCGCAAACCATAAGTTGAAAAGTTTGGCGAAGAATTTCTTCTGAGTATGAAGAGAAGTTTCATAGAATAAGACCAAGATGATTTTGATTGTGCCTGCTCTGTTCCTCGCTAGCATGGCAACAAACTTTTACTTTTCATATACACTTTTTGTCCACAATGATTTAACAACCTAGTGGTTTGTTGCGGATGATGGTCCACTTGTTCCAGCGTTATTCGTTAACGAAACAATACTTACACGGTTACATCACATAACTCTTGCCACATACGATTACGTACTTTCGTTAGAAATGTTTCGCCTAGCATGTATTGTTGCTCCGTGGCTCCTAATTCAACTGCAGTGGGGTTGGGTTGCTCATCGTAGTCGAGGAGCAGATTTCTAAAAGAGACCCAAAAAATGGGTTACGCGCGCAGCACCCCCACCACACAAAAGGTTTGACAACAGATTCAGATAGCCAAATACCCACAGATCACTTATTCGACATTCGGATCTACAAATTGTGGTGTCAGTGACTTGGTACGTTGCGCTTTCTGAGGGGGGTGGGGGGTATTTTGAAGCATCAAATTTCAGCATTTTCGTATAGGGTTAAAACTTTGAAAAATCATATCTTTTTACTTAATCAGGCAAATGGGTTAGTATTTGGTCGACGCGTGTTAATCCATAAGAGCTACAATCTCGGATGTATTTTGTGCTTTTTTTTGCGTAGCCATGGTAACGGTTTATAAGGAAACTCTGTCCATGGGGTCCCCCCCGATGTTGCTCATCAGGAACCCCCCTGATGTTCCTTATGGTAACCATTTCTGTGAAAGTCAGTGTCTTTCTTTCACCTTACTTACTGCGTGGGGGGCACAAACAAGCCGCCCACCATACAAACGTTTAAACATTTTCGACACTTTGCCTCCCCGGTAGCTATATCTTCGTTCGCTTAAGACGTGTAACTTTTAAATTTGGCAATTTTACTAATTTTAAGGCGCTCTTTCAAGTGATGTCGACGGATTTTCCTTAACTGATCCATGTGAAAAGTTGAAAAAAACCACAGAAGGTTCCTATTTATTTGATATACATTTAGACTACATGCATGCATGATCAAGTATACAAGAAAAAATGACTCGATAAAACAGCGATTTAGAGTTTTATTTTCGGTACGTACTTAAAGAGAGCTACAAGTTTATTTTCAGCTTACTAGTTTGGGTTTTTTCTATAGTAAAGTCTAGTCTACCGAGTGCGAGTCTAGTCCAGTTTAATTTGGTCTAGTTTAGACTGAATGAATTCGCCAAAGTTACGAAAAATAAGCAAGTACAAGTACGGTAAAAAAAAACACAGTAAATCAATTTAACATGGCTGGAGAGATTATTCGGTTACAGGAATTAATACGGTTGCTCTGAGTCGGAAAACATGATCACAGATCATGCACAACTAATTTGAGGTGTTCCAATCCAAGTTCATACTGTCATCTATCGTTTCATTTTCCAGCCTCTCGATTGCGGTAAAATGACTAACTACTTGGTCAGCATTATTTTATTCCTTCGTTAACAGTGACTGGAATTGCTGCGAACCCGGAAAGAAAAAAAACAGGAACAAGATGATATTTCCCATCGCAAACAGAACACTTTAGAACATTTGCATGGTTCTCAGCTTTTGAACTACTCTGTGGCTGGTGAGAACAGAACTTTCGTCCCAACTGATATTAGTACTCTCTCGAATTAGATTAGGCTACAAGAGTAATTATTAGCAAGTTAGTTAAGAAAAGTCATCACTATCATCAGCTGTATCATCATTTAACTTTTTCGATAAAAAAGAAAAATGAGCAAGTCTCATTATGGCTCCAAGAACAGTAAACAAACAGACGCAGATGGTGACTGGTAAGGAGAACCAGGTGTGAGGGAAATGACTGAAATAAAACAACAGGATCAGGGTGATGTTTTCTATCACAAACAGTACGTTGGAAAACAACTGCATAATTCTCAGTTCTTTCTTTCGATTTTCTCTTGATTCCTCATGTATTCTAACTGCTATGTCATCTCGCAGCCAATGGAGGCAGAAATAGGAAGCTATTAAACGTGCAGCTTCCAGTGCTTTCGCAATACACTGTGTTCGGGGAAAAAACCAGACGATATCACAGACCACTATCGCCATAGAATGGAGGATCAAAACGTTGGTAATCCACCACTTGTAACGTACGGTGAACAACGCAATGACAAACAGTCGACTGCTCAAAAGGAATACATGCGTTGCAAAGCGAAGTAGTCTGTGTATTAAATTTCGCCCCGCATTAGTGCCACCTACATTGTAGTGAATGATCTCATCGCCAACAGTAGACGCCCAAGCCAAGCTGAGGAAAGACACGGGCAGGGAAACCATTTGGACGATCGTCACGGATTGCTGTTGAACAACCATGGCGTACAGCTGAATAATAAACTGAGGAGCTGCTTCAAGAGTGCCCTCAAACAGAACCGCGACATTGCTCTGATGCAATAGATCAACATGAGCTTCTTCGTCACTATTTTCTGAATCGATTCCTGAAACTCTATTGCCACGCCAGAAATTCGTAAAATTCTTCAGGTAGGAAAACAGTGTTTGCAGTTTTAGAAAGGCTGGAAAGAATGGATTTGCAGCGCAAAGGATAACTTGCGTGCACCTCCTTGCAATGCTGACCTTTTTCAATTCAGATTTGTTTAAAACATAATAAGTCCGTAAAAACACAAAACAGGGAAAAAAGACGAAAGTGAGCCCTACACCGAACCACGTCTTGTGATCCTCGCGGTAGAATTCCACAAGTGTGAGAATATCAGTGATGGGGTCGGCAAAGCCTAAAATGATTCCGAAAACGATCAAAAATATGTCGTGCCGTTTGATTTCGTTTTCCACCATTGCTGTGACCTTTCTTAATGACTCTTAAATTCTGGAGAAAACTTTTTGTCTGATTCGCTCTACGCATTGATAGCTTAATTTATAAACTGACTGTGACCCGTAGAATGCATGCATTTTGAGTTATTATGGAGCTCAGGCAAACGTCTGGAAGTTGTGAATTCGTGTGCAGTAGTTTTGCCCAAATTTTTGGGCAAGTGGTTTCTATAAAAGTAAAGACACTTAGCAATACAGATTTGGTACCGTTAAGGCATATCAGAAGGGAAAAGACCTTTACTTACTTCCAATTGAAGCTAATTGACGTGCGTCAAAAAGCCAAATTCAATAATTGTTTTATTATTCATGCGAAATGTTTGTTCTTAATAAGAAGCTCACCTCCTCGTAGACTGTTTTTTTTTTTAACTTTGGCCTATTTCTAGGCCCGGTTTCAGGATATAAAAAGATGTATTTCTTGTAGGTACTCCTCAAAAAGTAGATCAGTAACATCCGTCGAGCAAAATGTTTTGCGTATTCTTGCATAACTTCCGTTCACTTTTAATCAGAAATTCAGCTATTTTAATTAACTGACTGAGAAACGTCGGAATACAGAATGTTACTGAGTCGGGAGTACAGCCGGAGTTTTCTGGGACACATTTTCATTGAACACATAGAGAACTAAAGAGTTATGTGTGATCAAAATCAAAGCATCGCGACGGTAGTAAAAACATTACTTTTAAAAGTTTAGTCAAGAGTATCTTTCCAGGAGATTCGTAATAATTAAAAGACGAAATCCACCTTGGCCAATTCGTCTCAGGAGACGAGTACGGTACCCTGGAATAAGCAGGGGCACCCAACGAGGGTTTCCTCCTAAGTGTATTGAAACACTTTTTAGGCTATCAAGAGTACTTTTAGATCGCTAGAAATGTATTCTAAGTGGCGCTAAAAAACTTATATCTGTTCGGTGATCCTTGGGCAACTTAAATCTTTTTGAAATTACAAGGGCTTCAGTATTATTTTCCAGAAAATTTTAGCTGCAATAGGATTTAATGGAGCCGAAACCAATCGTGGAATTGCACGCATTTTAGGCATCCTACTGATGAACAGTTGCGACACGCAGATATATATATATTTTTAGCAACTATATAAGATAATTTGCAGTCTGTCTACTTTGAATCTTGGGTTGGGTGCTCCTAAATAAGCGCCGCACCCTCCAAGTAAAAGGAGACTTAGCGCACAAGAAGCACGAGGATTTTTTTTTTTTGCAAAAGAAGCAAAGAAGCAAAAAAAATAATAATAATAATAACACCTGATCTCAGGTTAGCTCTCGCGCGTCTCGAGCACTTCTTCCGCTTTCTACAAGGAAACGGAAACGATTGCTACGCAGGATTACAAAGTATCAAGTATTGAGAAAGGTATCCATGATCGATCATTCCCGCAAGTATCACCTTTTAATCCCATGACACAGGAATATCGATGTTTTGACACTTCATCTCTTCTGTAAAAAAACATAAATCGCTTGTACATTTGAGATGATTCATCAATGGTTAGATGTACAGTATCTTCTTTTTCGAATCATGCATCTGTTCTTATTTCCGTGTCTTGCTTGGGTCCGGGGTTATCACATGTTCTCTTAAACATGGGTTTGGGATATCTTAATTACATAAGAAAAAAAAATGGGTAAGCCTCATTGTTCCTCCAAGAGCAGTCACTAAACAGACATATACCGTGACTGGTAAAGAGTACCAGGTGTGGGGAAAAGGACTGAAATAATAGTCAGTAAATCAACATAACATAATTAAATCTGTGTCCCAACTGACACTACTTTCCCTAGTTGAGACTCTTATAAACTTTTATAGTAAGGCTACATACATGTACATAATGACAGAGATCAGATACAGACTTTTAGACGTACCAATACAAGATCAGACTATAATCTACCCTCGTTTTATAATGCTGCAATCTCGACGGGATTACTATACGAGTCCAGCTGCACTCGATCGGTAGTATCTTTATTCGCCCTCACGATCTTTGCATAAAGCGAAACTAAAACATGAAGCGAAACTAAATCACATTTTAGTATCGGAATGTAATGAAACGCGAAAATAAAGAAAACCCACAACCCTGTATTGCAGCTCGCAGTGACCAAAGCAGCTGCAAAGAGTCGACTGCTGAAAAGTAATAAATGCGTTGCAAAGTGTTTAAGTTTATCTTTCATATTCAGCGATCGTTTCTCCTATCATCATATAGTCTGCTACATTTAGTGTCGTCACGCAATGCTCCTCCCCACCTCCTCCTCCAGGGGAGGAGCGTTGCGTGACGACACTAAAATCGGCTTGTGTAGCAGACTAATCATCATAGTGAAAGACCTGATCAGCAACTATGGAAGCAAAAGCCAAGCTGAGAAAAGACACAGGCAGGGAAGGATTTTTAGTTTCACCAAGGCCGGACAGAATGGATGAACACCAAAACGGAACGCCCGTGTGAGAATCCGTTTGATATTGCGGGACGAATCTCTGTATAAACTGAGTGTGCAGTGAACTAGGAAATAAATAGCCTGCTCCAGGCTCCGAGATAGTGGTGAAGAGTCGTTCAGTAAAAAGAAATGCGAAAAACGCGCGGGGGCTGGGGAGAGACATTTTTCTGGCCGCCACCGCCCCCTTTCCCAAGTCGCGTGCGTCTCATTTTTAATACGTCCGCACTATACTATCTGAGAGCCTGGCACAGGCTAGGAAATAAAGGGACCATAGCAAAATAATAAATACAAGCCCCACAGTGAACCATTTCTTGTGATCTGCGTGGTAGAATTTCACCAGTGTAAGAATATCAGTGGTAGGGTCTCCAAAGCTTAAAATGGTTCCAAAAAGAGCCAAGAAGATGTCGCACCATTTGAGTCCTTTTTCTCCCACTGCTTCGACCTTTTTGAATGACTCACGCTTCCTGTCTGAGATATAGTAGCTGTGTATTGATTGGATATTGTGTGAACAGTCTGACCCTTACTGAGTTTATTTATTTATTTATTTTATTTCATTTTATTTGCCACACAATAATTACAAAAAATATAGGAAAAGAAGAAAAAAAGAAGTGGCGAGGAGACCTTACAGAAATTATAGGAGCTTATGAGAGGTTAGGCCTCCTCGAACTATGAGCTAGAGCTGTTTCAGATCAATTGAAGAAAAGAAGGCGAAAAGTCGAAGGTGGAAAGACCAGGAGCTCCTGGAAAGACTTATGAACTGTTTTCATACTTACTCAATATTTTAATCTTCAGTTTTTTCTTAAAAGAGGAGAGGGATTGAGAGTTGATGACCTTGTTGTCAAGTGAATTAAAAAACTTAGGCCCTTGAAAAAAGGGCGAGAACTTCTTCGTGTTTGTACGACAATACGGTAGGCCGTAGGCCTGGGAATTTCTTGTATTGTAAGAGTGGAATTGATTGCTTTGAGAGAAATTGTTATTAAACTTTGGAGGTAAGAATGAATTTTTGCAAGAATACATAAATTGGTCCAGTTGAAGCAAATGGATTATGAGTTACATTCATTATCTCATGTGCGGTTTTAAATGGAAAACTACTCGGAGTGAAAGACAGCCGAGAGCTCGCATTGAAGTGGATTTAAAAGGGAGTCCAATATCTGTCACAGATAACAAACTCAGCTCATGAGGAATGTTAGTTTGAAGGTCACATGATAAGGGAACTAATATCTGCAACAAAGATCTAGACTGGCAAGATAGTCAGATCTCTCTTAACACGCACCTCCATATAGACGTACAACTCGCTTAAACGGACATTTCGAGTTGGCGCTGTCGGCTTTGTTCGCTTTATAAGACGAACATTTCTTTAAGAACGCTTTCCAAAATTCAGAACCGGGCCGGCCAGTCCATAGCAAGATCAGTCATTGACAATGAAAAAACCTCTATTCCAAGGTCGAGTTTTTGTTGAAACGCCATTTCTCTCATGCATGTTATTTGGGATCTGGCTGATTTTGATTAAAAGTGAAGTTCTCATTATGACTGCAGTGGAGGATCCAGACCTTCAGATAAGGGGGCCCCGGTCATCAAGACCCCGACATAAGGGGTGGGGGGGGGGGGTCTCAAAAAAAAAGATTCGAGGCTCCTCTGGCCTCAGTTTGGTCTAAAAATAAGGGGGGGCCCCCCCAGGCCCCTCCACTGGATCCACCACTGGATTGGAATGCTCCGGCCGGTCAGCTGTGACAAATGGAAACCACCCCAGGACTGACACATAATGCGGCTGGTCCTAAAGGTACCTGCCCTAGAGATCGTTGGCCGTATGTATTCCTCTTTTCTTCCCAAGGGAAAAGAAAACCCGCAGGGATACTGATATATAAAACTTCTTATATCCTAGTTATTATCCCTTCTGTGGCAACCTATGCAACCCATTTTGTCACATGTTTATTTTACAATAACAGTCAATGCCATCTAGACACCGCCCCCCGCAACTTAGTATACAACGCATCTAGGTTTCCTTTTTTAAGTTTACAGGCCCAAATGGTCTCCAAAGTTTCTTGAAGCATCATTGCAAGAATTACCAAATCTTTAAGGTTCTATATAGTAGATGGGGTGGGCAAAGGGTTGAGGGACAGGGCATTATTTTTTTTGCCCATGGTGGGTCGGGGAATAATAGGAGATTTGTAGGAAAAAGTAGCAGTTATGTTTGAGGGAAATTACCATCAAGGTTACAAAACTATAGCAAATGTATATTATATGTAAATTTTCATTGCATTTTTCAAGAATTGGTCAAACACTATAGTTGATATGTAATTCATGCAGGCAACCATATCAAAAGAGAATTTGTTTTATTTTAACCGATACGGCTTGTACAACTTCATCGACATAGTATATATGTTCAAACTGATTCTGACACTGTTCGCCAACTCAAACTTTTTATAACTTAGCTTGCACATCAGCAGGTAGAACTAGTTCCCCTTTAAATTAAGCCTCACATAACTGTAATCCGGATCTGCTGGAAAGACGAAAAATA